AAAGTATTGATTAGTATTCTTGCGTATCTAAAAGTATAGATTATTGAAACTGCTGACTGCCACCATTTGTTGCTGAGCCTTGTTTGATGTCTTTTGTTTTTTTTTTGTTTTTTTTTTAAAGCAGTATTTTTTTTTCCAGTGATTTGTTTGAGGCAGTATTGACTAGCGTTTAGTGTCCCTAAATAGGGTTCAGTAGGGTTAGTTTAATTAAGGTTAATTTAACATGAAATATTCAACATACATAAACCACAGTTTTGGCTTTTGTCTCCACCAACTCTTGTAACATGTACAAAAGCCACTCTAACTGATAACAGCAAGTGTTTATAGTTTACTGTTAGGCTGACAGCAAAATGGCTGATGGTAAACAGCACGTATGGGGCCGCCTACATCAGTTGGGGTATGGTTTTCCGAAAGCCTCCCTGTGCAAGGCTGTGTTTGTATCCTGTGGTTCTGCCTTCCCCAGCTTGATTTCTCCCAGATGTTTCCTGTATCTCTAAGGGCGAGGTTCCAGTGACTTTAAAGGAGAAATAAAAAATCCAGCATGCCAAGATTGTCGAGAGCTTTTTGCTGAGCTACTCTGAAAATACTATTGTGTATGTCCCCATTCTTTATTGCCTCTGAGGAGAGTCTCCCAGAGCGCACGTCACCTCTATAAAATTCAAAGCAGGCTTGCTACCTTGCTGAGCATGCACATCTTTTCAAACCAGCAAACTTTTGAACCGTAAAAACCGAGTTCCTCAAAGTGAAACCTCTCTCTGGAGGCTGACTGACCCGCTAGAGTTACTGCACATGGATTTCTATTTGAGGTTTGACTGTTAGGTGCAGTGACATGAGACCAGCGACAATAAAGCATGCATTAAAGACAAGATTGGAGAGTTTAAATATTGTAGTCGAAGCACTACTTTATCATTTTATATGGTGTGGTTAGCTCTGATTCTAAAATTAATGGATGCCTGGGAATAACCAGTTTAAGATGCCACAGCTTATTCCCACTAATTGTATGCTGTGCATAACCCAAGACCTTGTTAAAGAAAAAAAAGACTTTGCCATATTGGGTCTTGGGCTGGAGCTATTGATGCATGTGTTTTTCCCACTACTTATTCACCCTTTTTAAATTTAGTATAATTATCTAATCACCAATTAATAATTATATAGGGGTGAAACTTTTATTGTGAAGGAAGTCACAGCCAACCCGAGCCCTTTTCCCTTTGTTATTTATTTTGTGCTAGACTGCTTGCCAAGTTCTAGGGGCCCAGTGCTTTCTTGTGGGAGGAGGGAGGGTTGTCTTCATGCTTTTTGGCAGGAATAAAAGTTGGGCAAGTACCACCCCATTCTGTGCCTTACTTAATCAAAACAGATGAAGAAAACTTCAATATCTTTCTTTCTTTTTGTGGACTAGTTTGCCTGTGAGCGTTTTATGTTTAGGTATATGCTCTTGTCTTTACAAACAGTAGAAGGTGAAAGGATTAAAAAGTACACAGAATATCTAGCAGGATATCACAGCTGTCGGAACCTCGTATCTCCAAAATAGTAACTTTACAGGAGAAGGAAAAAACATACTTTACTTGTAATGTAAGTCAATGGAACCAGATTTCTCTCCAGGTAATTCTGGGTCATTTCTTTTGGTCCAGTCCCCATAAAATGTATACACAATTCCATTCTTTTTAGGAGATTCGCTTTTTCAGTTTCAAAGAAACCAGCGGGGATATTTTTCATCTCCAGAGTTCGGTCTTGGAAGTTGGTTTTGTATTTTCTGCTTCTCACCATCCTAATGATCCCAGTTCCCACACAATGCTGAGGACTGTCCCCTTCCTTATGGAAGTGGAGTATCTTAAATCTCTTAAATCTCTATCTCTTAAGTACTGATCTTAAACTAGTACTTTTTTGTTTTTTTAGGCAATTTAGACGGGAAATTACATAAGTGAAAGGTGGTCTCTGACATACTGTATAACTGTACAGTACTGTATAGCCAGAATGATCTTATCTTACTTGGGTGGAGTGCAAAAGCAGAGAAACATTTTGAAGAACGATAATACAGTCAGAGCAACAAATCTAGTGAAATTTACAGTTAGTAAAGCTTAAACATACTTCTATATTCAATGCGAATGCATATTTGGATTGACTGAAGTGCAAAGATTTACTGAACTGCTATGAAAGATTCATAGATGAAACAAAGGAACAGGGCTTTTCTCATTTTAAAAATGAGAAAAGCCATTAATTTTTACATAACGATTTACCAACCTCGCTTTATTTCTAAGGGATAAACAAGCTGTTACTGTGCCTTGAAGGCTGATGTGTAAATGAGCTTTGTTCAGTTTAGCTACCCTTTACTGATTGGTGCATCATTAGCAAAGCAGTCCTGACTGAAACGCTCCTTGTAACTTTAGCATTAATGCGCAGAACTAAACAGCTGTAGACTGAATAGGCGAACGAGTTGTGTGACATCACAAAAGCAGTGAATTCAAAACGGGGTGTTTTTTTAAGTGTTCAAAATGTACCATTCATTCCTCAGTTAATACAATGTTTTAATACTACATCAGCCCCCCAAAAAGGTAAATTAATTTTTACATAATAATTCCACTAGAAGACTATGCTGGAAGCATTCAGAGATGAGGGAGATTGGGACTGAGGAGGGGCTGAGAGGCAAGGACACTAAAGCAGTGAGAATATTGCTTTAGAAAACTGTTCCTCATTCTGTCTCCTTGTTATTCTCTGAACTGTGTCCCTAGTTTATTCACTCTTCATCATTTCCCAGAGAGAACAACCGCATTAATGCCCTTTTTTGGGGCAGACCACTTCCCCAGAGATTGCCAGCCCTCGAGAAAGGAACAGCAAATAATTATAAGATTGCATAAAAGGGCCTCTCATGTGGTAACGTTTTTAGAAGGTCATGAGACCTTCGCTGGAGAGGCTTTGTAAAATTTTCTTCTCCTGTGCACAGTCATTGAATTTTGTATTGCTCTTCATTGACCTAGCTTCTCTCAAATGCTTTGAATTGTTATAAAATATGAGATGTCATTCTCTGTATTTCTTCAATGCTGAGAATTCTTTTCTTTTATTTGCGCAGGACAATGCTGAAACGCTGAGGGTGCCCCTGTTTCGCTGTACCTTCTTTTATTGCTGCATTTTGAACACAGGCCTAGTTTTCTTTGGACTCCTCAGGAAGTCTGAACTGTGGTGACCTGTATAATTAAGAGTTTTTTGGAAGCCTCTGTTTAAAGTAATGGTGGCTTGTGTTTGGAATAGCATGCTGGAGTGAAAGGGATGGTGTCTGAGCATAGATTTTACCCGAGCAGGTTTAAATCCATGCACTAAAAGTGCCTCTCTTTCACTCTACAATAGTCGCTGTGGGGAAAGACATTTCCAGTGGACATAACGGTGCACTTGCAGGTGCTTTACTTGCCAGTTTGGTTGCCAAGTAACAGACTATTTCGAGGGCCACACGGCTTGACAAAATATGCACTCCGTAGCCTTTAAAGCAGCGCTTCTTTGTCTATCTATACAACTGGGCAAATTGGTGTGTGTGTGTGTGTGATATATATATATATATATAGATATTATATATATATATATATATATATATAGATTCATACTCATTGCTGCTGTCAGAACAAAACCTTCCATCTCCATTTTTGTTGTTTTTAAGTTTTTGGCATAGTTTGGGAATGCCTGTTGCCCTTTACATTGTGCATAATGTTTATGATAAATGGACCAAATGAAATGGCCAAAATTTATTTGAAAAGAAGTCTGGTTTCATTGACTTACATTAAATGTAAAGTATGTTTTTCCTTCTGCTGTAAAGTTGTCATTTTGGAGATTCAAGGTTTTGTTCCGGCAGCAGCGATAAATACATATGTATATATTCACACACCCCAGAAATATGGTAGCTTAGTGTTTTAGTACCACTGAGATAACAATGCAGTTAAAAGAGCTCTGTGACCCACAACCCTGTTAAATTCTGAATTAAAAGGACCAATTTCTGCATCCTTTGCTGCCTAATTAAAGTTTAACGGCCCCCCAGCCCCCTCTTTCCGCTTCGTTGTCCGGGTCTGCACTCTCTGAAGGGTATTAAGTTCTCTTCCTGTGAAGCGTACATGAAGTCTTTGAGTTCTGCGCTCGCGCCCTTCACTGGGCCTCTGCTTGGTTGGCAGCAGGAGGCTGCTCCTTCAGGAAGTGCGGAATGCACAGCGGAACAGCGCACACACCGGGGCTGTAACGCATGTGTGTCTGTTCTTTCAGAGGGGGAAAAAAAAAGACGGAAATGGGAGTTTGTGTTGGGAATGAGCCATTTTGATTGTCAGAAATAAGTGGACTATTTACTGCCCAGTCGGTTGAGTTGCTTGATAAGTGCTTGTGAACGTAGAAGCAACTTTGTTTAAAAGACCTCCATGACTGGGGGCTGGCCAGAGCCGATAACTACAAACTAGCAAAATGTTATCCTCCGTTTTTCCCTGAGGCACTGAAAAATGGTCATAATTCATTTTTACTTGGCCGTTTTTCAAACTCTCTTCATCCCTATTAAACAGGCCTCTTTTTGTTAATGTGCCAAACATTTTGTTAATGTTAATGTGTTTCTTACTGTAAAAGAAACAGTAGGCAAATTTTTAAAATGACTTATTAATTGATCAGTTGAAAAGGTAAATTTTACTCTGTGCTGTATTCTCTAGGGTATTTGGGCAGATCTGATAAAAGCAGTTTTTTTTAAATACTTAAAACAAACTGGACTTAGTCGAGCAATATTGGAAATGTATGTATGTATGTATGTATGTATGTATGTATGTATGCATGTATATATATATATTTAGGCAAATGTATGCAGGAAGATATTCCGGTGTATGTCAGGAGCGTTGGCTGCATTCAGACTTATCAGGCCGTGCTGGCTGGTGGAGCGCTCCACACTGCATGCCAGGCCCCCACTGAAAGCAGTATTAATAGCTGTGCTGTTTGTGCTGTGTTTGACATGAGGCCCAGTACAATCCTGCTCTTGTTCCTCTTCGCAGAGGCAAGCCTGCCAACGGGGACTACCGCAAGGACCCTCGGGATCGCAGCCGCAGCCCCATCGAGCGCGCTGTCGCCCCCACCATGAGCCTCCACGGCGGCCACCTCTACGCCCACATGCCCAGCCTGGCTATGGACCAGCCCCTCGCACTGACCAAAAACAGCATGGACGCTGCCCGCACTGTCACCATCTCACCTACTGTCAGTCCCGTCGAGCGTCAGCAGGTAACAACACCCACCACGTTAACGCCCTGGCAATGTGTTCACAGTGGGTGGATCTTAAACGGTTCATCCACATTTCCTTTCCTTGCATCCAAGGCCGGCTTTACATGGTGGAACTTTCATGTAACCTACATGAATCTAAATTGTACTTCAGTGTCAGTGTAAAGCATCCTGAAACTCATTTGAAACTCAACAGTTGCAGCCGTCTCAACTTTGTGAAACAGCAGCCAGGCAAAGCAACGATGACATCACGTCGAAAGACATATTTCAGAATGATTGATCACTGGATCAATAGACAAGAAGATAAAACAGGGTGTGGTTCATTGGGTGGTTGGGAAGGAGTAGTAAGGTCAAGTAGGTTATAACCGTAATGGCCACTTAAGCATGAATTTTCAAAGGCTTAGCATACACAGAACAAAAATAGATTAAAAACTGAAATATTCAATAAAGAACCCTAGATAGAGAGATTTCAAAGATGTACAGATAAAAGACACATATATATATAGAAACATAGAACGACTGTGACGGCTGAAAAAATTATACAAAGTTGATAATAATACTGCAGATATGTACGTTATACCTCGTGGTATACCACTTGGAGTAACTGAATGTGCTGCTTGCAACTTTGCTTTTGCATTTCTTTGCTTAATTATCAAGTTGTATGTAAATGATCTTGGTGGTACGTCACAATCTGCAACTAGTTTCATGCAAGTTTCACGGCCTTAGCTCCTCCCTCTGAGGACATAAGCTGAGGTTTTACATGTGTGTGCCTTATTAACATTCAAACATTAACATTCATAGTACCCTTCTATTAACTGAAATCATCCAATCAAAACAGAGAGGAAGTGCAGAATACAGCAACACAGACCTACATCATGGGCTTCAAATAAGGTCTTCAGTGAAGGGTGTTTGTGCTGTGCTGATTTTTCAGAGAGTAGTTTGTATTTTAAACTGATACATCCTTAAAAATGGAAAATTTCGACTGATTTCCAGGTCACAGGCTGAAGGAGTTTTGAGGTCCACCCACTATGTTTTACAGTGTCACTGTGGTGAAGAATCAAGGCTCATCCTGTATAGGGCCATCACTACAGATATTGCTGATCCAATATCAGATATGAACAGAAAATGCTGGATCAGATGAAAAGGAAAGAAATAATCCTGTAACAAATGTATCCTCAAACAAAACTCATGTTGTATAATGTGATGTTTAGTTGTGTAGTTCTTTCAGTGGGGCAGTAAAGTGGTTCAGCATTGTAGCCTATTGTTAGATCCAAAAGAGCAATTACACTGGTTTTTGCATAATTTCTGCGAAATTCAGTTTTTTATATGTAAACACTCATTCAGAGTGGTTTGATTTGAAATGAATCATTGTAGAAAAAACTTAAGACTCAGATTTCTTTACAGTGGTGGTGATCGGAACACAAATATAGCCATTTTATTTACTATTCTAAACTAGGGGTTGGTGATATATGGGGAAAAAAATATAAAAAGTATAAAGATACACAATATACATCACAGTGTTTAGTTTTTCTCAGGTTTAATAAGCTGGAACAGACAATAGAACCTGTAGAGCCACATAAAATAATAATAATAATAATAATAATAATAAACCTACAACTACAGTGATTTCTTATTTATGCTCACTTTGTACTGAGGCTAGTAGTAGTAGTAGTAGTAGTATGTTCAGAAGAGTGTATTGTGACAGTTTATCATGATAAAATATCGTCATATCGCCCAACCCATTCTAAACCAACAGTGAACCTACATGTGTCTTCTGAGTTTTTCCATGTAATGTAGATAATGGTAAAATAGTGATTAAGAAATAATAAGAAAATCTTTGGGGACTGTTGGTTTTCCCCCCCCTAAGAACACCCAGCATGTACCTCTTCACCATGAATGTATTTAAAAATACGTTTTAGGCAAAAACCTTCTCAAAACTATCATGAAACATTGGGCCTCTTTCACCGACCATTCTTAAGAGGAAATTTCTTTTCAAAACCCACTTACTCAGTTTCCACAAAGATTCTGACATTCACCAATGTTTTCTTATTTAGGATTTGTTCTTTAGTAAGAACAGAATCTACACACACTTGAGCACCAAGGTATGAACAGTTCTGCGCTTTGCGAACACATCATTAATCTGATATAGACTTTTTCTTAGGACCTTTCTCAAGAACACACTGAAGATGCTGGTGAATGAGCTCCTATGTCTTAGACATCAGACACTGTATTAATAACCATTTAATGTAGTAACTTTCTGTGAGGGAGCTTTTAGAGGTGGACGTCTGGTTCCTATCACCACCACTGTGAACAATTCTGATTGCAAGTTTCTTTAGAATAGAGCATTTCACACCAAACCACTCTGAATGACCTGGTTTACATTTGATTGAATTATGCAGTCGTTTTGGAAACTCTATGGGATTCCTTGCTTTAGCTGAAGAAGTGTAACGATTGTAGAGATACTTTCTTAATGACTTCCTAAAAAGGTTTCTTAAAAAAATCTCAAAATATTCACAAAATAAGTCTTTACACTGCTGTTATGACTTCAAATCCTCACTCAGAATTGAGACAGACATTAAAAGGAGTTGGACTACATGAAGCTTTTCCTTCCAAAATACCACTGGAAGGAAAACGTTCCTTTATCAGGTACATCTGAATGAACTGGGAAAAGGCTTTGCGTGTGTGACACTGACACTGAACAGGCCCCTCTGTGCTGACATCTTTCTTGGCTGCCTGTTAGAATATAACCTCTTTTTATTAGTTATTTTTATTTTTTTAAATAAATGTATGTATCTTACATGCAGAATCGGCCTTCTGTGATCACCTGTGCCCCGGCCAACAACCGCAACTGTAACCTCTCGCACTGCACTGTGTCTCACAACGGCTGCTCGCCCAACTTGCCTTCGAACTACAGGAGACCCTCCAACAGTAAGTGTCCTTTGGCACAACCCTGAAATGGCATCACCTGTCCAAATCTGTGCTGTTAGAGGGTCAAATTTTGTATATGCTTGGAAGAGTCCAGCCTTTAGACTGGGAGAAGGTCACTGTGGGGTCGCGGGAAATAAGATTTCATTCCTCTGCGGGGACCTCCACTCTGGGCTGCAGTTATTCTCCACAAACACTGAGGGGAAAAGTGGTTTAATTTATTCCAGAAAGTCTTATGTAACCTCAAAGGTTTCCTGTCCTCTTTTTTGGGCCATTTTATTAACTTCACTATCCACTATGGAGAAGTTTAAAGGACTCTGGCAAGTTTCATTATAGTCTTTATCGTCTGCAGGGCTGGTTACCAGGGACAGTAATTTCACCACATTTACTTAAACTTACACTATTAGTAATAACGGTTCTGTGCAGGTACATTTTTCGTTAATCAAGGTTCAAACAATGTAAATGTACCTCAAAGGTGGTTTTAAGGTCTAATTATGTACCTTAAATACGTTTTTCCCAGGTGAAAAGTACATATTTGTACCTTTTCATAACCTAATGTTTAAAAACAGAACAATAAAATAAAAAGCCTGGAGTCAATACAACTTAAATATAATTTCAATGGATTGTGGTACAGTTATGTTCCCCGACTAAAGGTACTGAGATGTACCCTTGAGAGTTCCATTCCAGTCACAAGAGGGGTACTGCCCCAGAGACAGTTTAGTATCTTTTTTTCTGAGTGTAGAAAAGAACAGACTCAAAATGCACTTATAATGGAAGACAATGGACCCCTGTTTCTGCAGCTGCCCACTGGCATCTATTATAAATGTGCTTAAATCTATGGTTTGTTTTTGTTTTATTCCAAAATTTAGGAAAATGTGGTGAAATTGTTGTACATAGTAGTTAAATAGGGATGCACTAAAAGTTTGGTCACCAAAAATATTCAAAAGTAGCTCTTCTGGACCTTATAAAACCCTCAGAGATTAAAAAGGTCTACAATAAAGTGTAGAATTAATTGTAAACAAAGGAATAAAAATATGAATTAGTGATGAAAAATGCAGAACGCAGATCCGTTTGAACAGTTAAAGTGGCAGCAGATCAACAGTGAAAAATTTGGCCACATGCAACTTTCACACAACTGTAAACCATTTCATGCAGCTGTTTCTGCAAAGCTCATAACTGACCGTATGTTAAACATGCGGCAGATTGGGGATTAGACTAAAAAACACTGTAGAAAGCCTTCAGTGCACTCAGACATGTAACTCTGGATGAAAGTCCTGCTGTGACGCAACAACGAAATTGTCTTTCTGTGCAGCTAACACAGCCTGCGACCCTGTGATCGAGGAGCACTTCCGCCGCAGCTTGGGGAAGAACTACAAGGAGCCAGAGCCGGTTACAAACTCCGTGTCCATCACAGGCTCGGTGGACGACCACTTCGCCAAGGCACTAGGAGAGACCTGGCTGCAGATCAAGGCCAAGGGCAGCTCCTCTGGAAGCCCCGACTCGTCCCCCAACAGCCACATGGTCAACCACAATCACTCCCCCTCCCTCGTTTCTTGAAACTAAAAAAAGGACCAGCTTTCTTCTCCCCTCCTTCCAAAAACCCCTTTCACTCTCAGAACAACCATGCATGTTTAAGCTCGGCTTCTAGTGTATAGCCATGTACATAAGACGGAGACGAGGAAGGTTTTTGTTTTTCTTTTGTTTGTGTACTTTTAGCTTGGCATTTGACTTGGATGCCCACAGGAAGAAAAAAAGAGCAGGACGTGTTTTGTTTCTATTAGGCGATGAGTCGGCTAGCATCCTAACAACCTGCCTCAGATACCAAAGAAACCTCTGATGCAAACTTTTTTTTATTTGCCCGTTTTAAGAGAAAGCCATTCTTTTTTGCATCCAGCTTCTTTCTCCTCTGGTTGTCTTGCACCACATCTTCTTTAACATTTCGCTCTCCCCCCACGTTCCCCTGTTTTCGTACGTGTATACTTGAAACGGAAGGCCTTGTTTGATTTTGCACTATAGAAAGGTTGAGGTCATAAATTAGGTGTTGGACTTGTTTTGGTGGGCTATTTTTTTGGTTCAAAATGTTAAAGGACAAACTGCTGACAACAAAGGTTGGGTGATGTTAAATATTACATCACAAGAAATGGTTTAGGGGGAGATTTTTTGTCTTTCTTCTTTTTCTTCCCCAATCTGTCCCTCTTGCTTCTATGGTTGGTGCTGACAACCGGACTGCATCATGTTTTTTCCCCTAAATATGGGCATTTTTGTCTTTCCCCAAGCACTGTGGTTGTGGTAGAGTAGATAAGGTTTTAAGGGTAAACTATTGCTTACCGGTGCATGTTTTAAAAAGAAAAATAGCTGGTATCTATTATTGTGTAGACATTTCATTCTTAATACTATTAGCCTTTTTTCCTCAGATTTTAGTTTATTTTTGTCAGTAACAATCCTAGATAAACTTACTGCTGGTACAGTTGTACTCAATATTATTTTTTATTCAATATTCATTGTGATAGCAGCCAGATAAAGAGGACAGCCTCCGGACAGGCCATCTTATATATTAACAGTTGGATTTATATGATATTAATCCGTGGTACAGGATGCTATTCGCAGTTTTTGCATGACTGAAAAACAGCAGCAGCTATATGGACAGGTCAGCGCTGAAAGTTGACAATCTAAAAATGTCGAGAGCTAAGTTTTTTCTAGATTTACATCGTTAGTGTTTGGCTGCAGCTTTTAAAATCTGTTTTTCTTCCTTTCTTTCTGTTTTTGTAACAACCAACCTGTACCAAGGTGAAATACATTCCTCCGATAGGGAACTTAGTACAGGTCTCGCTTTTAGCTCTCGTTTTCAGCATAATGACTAACTAGAAACTTTGTTGTGACAAGAGGTTGCGTATAGAGATGTGCTTAGGCCGAGGCGTTGCTCATCTTAAGCTTGTCCTTACATTCCGTCATCATAAAATCATTGGACGTGCCCAAATTTTGAAGTCTGAAAAGAGCTCGCTGCCAGGCAGCCCTCATTAGCAACGATTACATGAAATCTGAAAATATCATTTACAAAAGTACTGCGCAAATGATTTTTCTGTTTTTCACTTTGTACTTTTCTTGTATGTACCTGATATGGGGAAAAAAACTATCGAAAAAATTGTATACTGCATTAGGCCATCAGTGTCCTCTTTGTGCATGAATACAGAAGGGGGAGAAAGGACTCAATGTCCAGAGGTCAATATAAACACATTTCACTACCAGTTTACGAGGTAGGACACTCACTTTCTGTTTTTGACACACATTTACCCTACACGCTGTAGGTAAATCACTTAATGAGAAAACTTTTTATATAGGTAACTATAAGACCATCATTACGCTGTGCGTAACGAATGTACAGAGAAAAAAAATCGTAGGTATTTTTTGAGGAACAATTAATTTGTTAATGATATGTAGCTATTTAATTTTTTCCCTGTCCTTTATTGTAATCATGCTTTTTTTTTTTGAGAAAAAAGTTGATCTTTTTCATTTGTAGATTTGTCTGTTTAAAGTGCAGGAACACAGTTATTCTATGAAAACACTGCGTTATAGCCACTTGTGTATTATTTCTAAAGGCTACTGAGCAGTCTAGATACAGCTTTGAACGCAGAGGCTTTTCAACTGTCTCTGGAGACAATTGAACAAGAAAGTGCTCATCTTTTTATGGCTACTCGTCTGGGATGAGTAACTCCACTCCGACTGGTTAACATTTAACTGCCAGTGCTCATTTTTGACATGGTAACATCAAAGGAAGATGCTTCCAAATGGATTAACACTAGAAACAAGTCACTACATCTCTAGTGAACCCCAAACGGTTTGTAAATGTGTATTATACCCTCGTTTTGTGGCCTTGGGTTTTCTTTTGAATTAAAAACAAAAAAACTATGAAAGAAAATTGGCAGGCCATTGTTTTGTACTTAAAGTAGCCTCGATGAACAATAAAGTGCTCTTAAACCACAGTCTGTGACTCAGTGTTCATTCTTCAGCGAAACAACTAATTCTGTACAGTTTTTAAAGAGAAATACTTTGGATTACTCACTCTTTCCTCTGTAACAAACCACACTGACGTCAAGAAAAAAAATCCATGTGGAGAAATTATCTTGAGTTGTGCTGATGGTTATGCTCCTAGTATTATCATTACTACAGTTAACAACTGATTTACTGGTTTGTGTATGACGACTGCAGGGCAATTCATTCATAGAAACTCAAGATCAAGTGCTTTGTTAAAAAATTAGATCTGCTTTGTGTCGACTGGTCCAATCACAGCCCAAACTTTGAGATACAAGTCAGTTCCCTGAGGCGCTCTACATCTACAAAAAAACCCAAAACACCCTTGCAGAACCTCATATCTCTGAAATGATAATTTTACAGGAGATGGACTGGGGCGATGTACATGAACGTGTAATTGAGGGTAATGTCATTTTGGACCATTTCTATTGGTCTGCTTAGTTTCTAATTCTTACACAATGCAAAGGGTAATTTTCAAACTATGCAAGGATGTTTTTGTGCCTATTCCCGACACAAAATAGAGGGAAACATTTGGCCTTAGATTAAGCCTAAGCTTAGACTAAAAAGAATTCCCAATGGTAATTATCCATTGCTGCTAAAATTCTGTCCAAGATCAGGCTTAAGAAACCATAACATCACTAGAACAAAACCTCGTGCCTCCAAAATGATAACTTTACAGGAGATGGAAAAAACATACTTTAATTTTAATGCAAGTCAGTGGAACCAGATGTATTTCCAAGTCATTTTGGGCCGTTTCTTTTGGTCCATTCATCATGAAATTTACACACAAGGTAAAGGGCATCAAGCATTTTCAATACATGTCAAAAACTGAAAAATTACAAAAAAATGGAGATGGAAAGTTTTGTTCCGACAGCAGCGATACGCTAGACAACAGTATGGCAAACCACCTCTGCCACCTCAAAAACTTCATTTATTCCTTCAATGAAGCTCAAGTCTTAGGTTTACTGTACAAATAAAAACGGGATGAAACTGATGGTTTAAATGTAACCCTAACTATTTGTGAACTAGGTGTAAAGTTTGGTGCAGCTGGATTAGATAAACCTTGGCTTTAACTTGATCTCTGTGTTTGAGACCCACTCTCTGAACTCAACTGTAGGAACATCAGTTGTGCAGTAATGTAATATGTCTTGCCTTGTAAGGCAGTGTGTTCCCAGTTCCACTGCCATGCGAGCTGTACAGTACCTGAGCATCTGCGCTGAATTTGGTATTGGTGGAACTAGAAATGATGAAGACCAGTAAATGGTCAAATGCTGTCACAGTCACCGCCCACTGAGCCAGACAGTCCAGTGAAAACATGCCTAAAGTACTGGAAATATCACAGCATTTGTATTGTGTAGATGTTGGGAGTAAAAAGGAGAACCGGGCCATATCTGAAGAAGCAATACACAGACAGTTTATTAGCAGGTTATGACAGATACACAAATGTGTTTGACATGTTACCAAACCAAATCTGAAGTTATGTCAGCTGGACGATTACTGTGAAAATGTGAGCTACGGTACAATAATGAAGATCAAACACGAGATGTGGGTTCAGTTGGGTTGCAAACAACAGCTCTCTGGAGATGAAGGACACACCATGGAACTCACCATCATTTCCATTCAAAACCGACATTGTTGCGCTTTTACTAAACCAGTGCACGAATCTGTACCTCTGTCTGTTCATTACTGATCTCTCAAGGCAAGTGATCTCCATGATGAGTGGACGGCCATGATGTGTTAGCAGTGCTAAGTTTTGTTCGCTCCTGCAGAGGCTTCTCACTGGATCCATGTTTAAATACTCTCATCATCACTCATGTCCCAGATCTGGAAGAAGCAAATAGAAAAAAAAGAATCTCAAACAAAATGTTATGTTAACCAATTATGTGAGATACATTTTCTCTCAAGTAAGCATGAACAGAATTCATGAACAACTCAGGTTTTCCATAACAATAATAACAATAATAATAATAATAGTAAAAATAATGAGTTTTATGTATATAGTACCTTTATTAAGCTCAAGGTTGCATACAAATAAATAACAAAATATGTAGAAAAAATGAATCACAATAGATATTAGGACAGCAGGTGCTGGGATAAAGTGACTATTTGTGACTGTTTAGCATAATCTTAGTAGAGATGCACCGATACTGCTTTTTCCCGTCCGATACCAATACCTGATTTTTCAGTATCGGCCAATACTGAGTACTGATACTGATACTAACTATCTAACCTAACTTACATAGAAGTTCTGATATTTACACTATTACATTTGTAAAATATTTTATTTTGTTAAAATCTGTTCTGCATCATAACTAAAACAAGACCTGCGAGACCCTGCTGCTGAGTGATACAGCTGACCGATGGAGGTGCACCACAGGGGGGCTAGTGGACGCACAGGCCCAGATAGCAGGCTGCTAAGATAAAGGCTAAATCGAGGCTAAAGGATATCATTACATTGGGAATCCCATGGTCCATGGATCTTTTCCACAAATTTACACACTTCAGGGCAAACCAGTCGAATAAATTTTATCTTATAAATACTTGGTTTTATATTAGAAGATAATCTGTCTTTTAAATTGCATGTTGAACAATTGATGAAGTTAAAGTTGAAGTTTTTGCTTCATTCAACAGGCACGAAAAAAACAGTTGAAGGTTTTTTTACCTTAGATTATGGTGATATTTATTATAGGTATACTTCAAAGACAACATTACATTCATTGGACTCTGTTTATCACACTGCATTACGATTTATAACAGATATTCAACTCATCACTGTGAAATGGTTGGTTGGCCTTCACTTTCAGTGTGAAGACAAATTCATTGGATAATTATTGTCTACAAAGCAATTATTGGTCAGCTTCCTTCATATTTGTCTGCATTCATATCAACAAACAAGTCTTGGTACAATTTACGTTCTAATAGTTATTTTCAGCCAGACGTTCTAAAAGTACGGTCTGAATACGGCGAGGCAGCTTTTAGTTACAGAGCTCTGCCTGCATGGAATGATCTGCAGAAACATTTGAAATTGGGAAAGTTTATTTCCTTGAGTGATTTTAAAATACTTGTTAAAGAACTGAATCATTCTGTTTATTCCTGTTTTAATTTGGTTCTGACTCTGATTTGATTTTGTTGGTTTTGATGGTGGTGTTCCCTGATTGTTTTGTGTGCTGCCTTCTTGGCCAGGGCTCACTTGTAAAAGATTTTTAATCTCAACGTGATTCCCCTTGTTAAATAAAGGTAAAATAAACCCAAAAAATAAAAATAAAAACTATTTCTGGTAATCATTCTATGTATTTTTAAACATCTGCTGAATGCCAGGCTGGCAAAATACCCCAGATGAACAACACTCACCACTTAATGTCTGTGTAGATGCTCTGTTACTGAATTTAAGGTGTTCAGGAAGACCAATAACCACTCACACATGAGGAAGGAGCACAGAGTCAATAAGAGCAAATCAGAGAGGATGATTTAGGCTGAATAATCAAGCTTTTCTTGATAGGAACAACTTCAAATATGAACTAAACCTCATCATTAGTAATTTTATTTTCTTTCATTTATGCTATGGCAATAATCCGGCTCCCAAAAAGATTCTTCAGATTGATAAAGAAAGGGTGAAAGGGTTCTTCAGACTGATGGACTGATGTGCTGTAGAAGGTTATATATAGCACCTTTTTGAAAAGGGTTCTATTTAGCACCAAAAAGTGTTCTTCTCTTGTTATTCTCTTGTTATTCAAGTTGGTTTTTGGTCATATAATCATGAACATAGAACAGTTTCAGCCCCTTAAAACTGAGTTCTTATGCACAGTATGTTCAAGGTGTGAAATACATGGGATCCTGGGTGGTCCAGGACCCCTAATTAATCTCTTGGCCCCCTTGAAAAATCAAAATTCTCGTGCCAGGAAAAAAAACATGACACAAAAACGTCCCTAAAAAATACAATTATGAAGTTATGCTGGAACAATAAACACTGAAATACAAATTTAGGGAAAGTTCATTGTTCAGCTGATGTGCGCACATAAGTGTGTATTTTACAACGTCTCTGAACGCAGCTCAGCCAATCAGATTACAGAAGCAAAACTATCAGTTCCATAAATGTTATTTTGAAGGCTCAGATTATTGATTTCAGGCTTGCTGTTTAATGATTAATCGCTGATTAGTGGCGTTATCAGTCAAAAGAACTAGCCAAAATGTACATCCCTAGTGCCAAGTGTAGTATCACAGTGCTCAATACCAAACATATATTATGGCAAAAATGAAAAATAAATAAATAAATAAATAAATAAACTAAAAACATAATAGACTGAACACAAAAATATTTTAACTGTTAAAGGTTCTACACTATTTTAAACTGTTTGTTATATTAACAGCAAACAATTATTTTCTTGTAAGGCTATTGTGGAGTTACGGCATCCTGAGCAATGAGTAATGTCACACTGGCTGTGTTCACGTGAAGATTTTTGCCAATCTGATTGAATTCACTCTGATTAGATTAAGACTGAGGTGTTTATATGTTCACTCTACTCAACAATCTGATGGAAAATCTCTGTTTAGACTCACACTACAAGTAATCAGATTCACAATTACGGGCATGCATAGAGAACCACTTAGTGTAGACGTTACCATGACAACCAGCATCATGTGAGTCCAGTCAGAGTGAGATGAGCAGCAGTGAGCAGTGCTTGTGTTTTTAATTACTTTAAAATGATGTCAGACTCAGGAAAACATCCTTCACATGTACTTATTAAAGAAGGCCGAGAGGAAGACGTCGTGTTCTGAGATACATAAGCTGGATGTCCGTCCCACCACCGTCTTTTAAAGCTCAAAGCATGAACTTCGTCTCCTCTGCAGACCAGTTTCTGCTCCACGTTGAACATTATAAACTTTCACTATGACGTGACGCACATGCGCAGAACATACTTAAACTTTCCGATTGGGAATGTAATCAGATACAGGCGTTTTTACGGTTATTATTCTTCTATTTAACAGATTAATTACAAGGTTACCCACCTCGTTCAATCAGACAGAAACTGTAGTCTGAATGGCCTCAATCAGACTAGTCTATTCCAATTGAGGTGTTTACATAGACGTGTTCCATTCCTATTGAACGATTAGTCGGATTATTAGGCTGCATGTAAACGTGGCTCTGCCTCTGTTTGTGTTGTAATCTGAGTTTCTGTTTTTTACCAGTCCCGCCCTGTGAAAATGTTTGCCCACCCAACGTTTTGTTTTGCCCTCCCCAGACAAAGACAGTGACCACCCACACAGCACCGTGTATGCAAGAAAGCAGAGTGCAGTAGGAAACATTCATGTTAAAGCCACCTTCCAAATATTCCACTGAATATTCCTTAAAGTTGACGAGGCTGATGTTAGCTTTCTATTCACATTTTCCCATTTCACTTTAAACTGTGCAGCAGTTCCATTCTACGCCTGACAAGCCTGAATGTGACTGTCGTGCCATTTAAGGTGGAATGTGAAAGTTCAAACAAGAAGCTGGTGAGTAAAAGGCTGACTTCAGCTTCATCGAGAGAGCTGAACAGCATGAAAATGGAGTGAGGAGGCTGCTCTGTTTCTGCCTGACAGGTGGGCAATATTAACTCATTTTTGCTGTTTTACAGAACCAGTAGGTCAGTATTGTTTTGTCTGGTTTGCCGATGTTTGTGATAGCAGCTGGTCAGCTTCACAGCAGCAACTGTAGCGACAGTTTGCTAAACCACTACCGAGCTAATGCTAGTTATATTATGTGCTATGTGGTTGTTCGCTCCAATGTCATATCAAGATATTTGTCTGTACAACGTTTGAAGGGTTTTCTAGCCCAGTGTCGTTCATCCCGCCAATGTGCTTCCATGATTTTGGGGGCGGAGCTTCTGAAAGAGCACTGAAGGGAGGGTTGTGTTTATTTTGCTATTGAGATCAAATATCGACAGTTGTTCTCCAGAATCGTATAGTGCACCTTTAAGCTTAATTAACACATTTTTCCATCAGTCTCTTTGTATCCATACAAAATCTAAATAAGCAACTGAATAATTTAACATGGTCTCATTTGACATATTCTGAATGCATGATTAATAATGAGAAGCCCAACATCATCACTGTTTAAAAGAAAAACAATGCTGCTTGTTTCCAGGAGCAAAAGACCAGATACAGATATGCTAATGGACACATCCAAATGAAATCTGTATGTGCGATGTGTTGTGTTTATAGGCAATACAACACAAACATGGTGCTAGTCTACCTGAATGAAGAATCTGTAAAGTACTGAAAGTTAGAGTACTGAATAGTTGACCACACTAAAGTACTGAATACGTGCAGAACTTCGGCTGCTCTGAGCTTTAGAGAGTTACTGTTGTTAGTCAAGATCTTCTGAAGTGGTGAAAACCAGCCTGCTGCAGTGGTTCCTGACTAGGGTTGTAAAATTGGGCTGTGCACACTTGAAGGCTTCATGCGTGCATTCATCAAGTGGAGTGCTGCTCTTGACTGGAGTAGAAGGGGGAAATAATGCATGCTGTAATCATGTTTGAAGGTAATGTGAAATTAAATGAAAACCTTTGTTGTGTGATGCAGTAGCGCTGTGATTTCTGATTAGTTGCCACTACGTGTGCAATTTGCTTGAGTTTTAAAAACCCGCTGTTATTAAATAGGGGTGAGTATCGTTCAAACATTTCTGATACTGATAGTCGGTGTGGCTTAAATGGTAATTTAGCATTTCTGAATAATTACATCATGAAAATGTAAACAAAGTCATTCAGAGTGGTTCAACATGTTCTAGAGAAACTTAGAGTGAGAATTGTTCACAGTGGTGGTGATAGGAACCAGACGTCCACCTC